TTTTAGGGTTTAGGGTTTTAGGGAATGGCGGCAAATGTATCCCTGTTATCCCTGTGTGTGGTGGCTTGAAATAAGGTTCCTCAGCAGGAGATAAGCCCTCCGGTGCCGCCTCCTCCCCAGAGATTTTGCGAATGCGCAGCCACATCGCCTGAAGGAGTGAACACTCCGCAAGCCTAATGTAGGGGCCTTACAATTAGAATAGGGGTTTTGGTATAATTATACTTACAATCCCCCGAAAGAGTATAGGTAATAACAAAAGCCCCTATGGTAAACACTGAGTTCTCAAACCCCAAACGGTGTAGGGCCTTGGGTTCATAGATGGAGGTTGAGGGGTTTTGGGATCGACCTCGGGAGGTTAGAGGGTTCAGGGTTTAGGGTTTAAAAGGGTTTAGGGATCCTGAGTTTCAGGGGAGACGACCCGGCTGCAAGCCTAAGAACCCCATAAATCCGCGGCGACGCTCGCAACTTTTCTGCCTGGACGGCCTTCGTCCCCTTAAGCTGCTAGCAACTTCTGTACAAGCGCTCACGGGCAAACGGATGGCTGCCTTCATCGAGGACAGCGTAAAACAGTTTTATATGCAGGCGGTTTCGGGCACTGCCTGATATACTGCGGTGCTAGTTTTCTCTTCACAGCTCTCTGACACAGACTCACGCTGCTCAAAGCTCGTCGTATAAAGTGCAGGGCGCATTGTTTCCGAAACTGCCCTTCGGCAACTTGGAACCATCGTCAGAATCTGCTACAGACTCGGTGTGTGTTGCAATCGAGTCCTGAGGGTGCGTCAGAACCTTTGGTACCAAGAACCCTAAACCTCAAGGCCCTAAATCTAAAGCCTCAAACCCTGAAAACCCTACCAGCTTAAAGCCATGAAATCTTCTAAACTTCTAAACCCCAGCTCCATAAACCACGAGCCGTCGAGCCCTGGCAGCATGACTGCTGGAGAAAGAACCGTGGGCCCAAACTACCGGTCCTGCGGGTGCCGGTCGTGGCATGGACTTCTTGTTGTTCATATGATGACTACCCATAGGCCCCATAGTAGCTCCTTTTGGGGATTCCCTAATAGGATCCTAACTATAAGCCACAAAAAGGAACTACCATGG